GTTGGTACTGGGGATCGAACTCAGGATCTTACATGGCAGGCAGCAGAACCACTGAGCTAAATCTCTGGTCCCAATTCCTTGTTATTTAATCTCTTCCTCCTCAACTCCTATTATTCCTTCTGGCCAATAACTTGGAATGCAAAAATACTAATTTAGAATTCTTCATCTTGTATTTTAATGACAACTACACAAAACCACATCCTTCAGTCAACCTAAATCAACACAATTCTTCAGTAACTATATGATCATTGAAACAGTAGTGTTAATAACAACTGCTGCCACTTGAAGTCTGCTATTAATACATTATCAGAAACAATAAGCTGGCATTAAATTCCCCAAGTCTAAGCAGTACCTCTACATAGTGTCTTATAGGGCTTCCCTTTGATTTTCTAGCCTTGTGTGCTAATAGTAAAATAACCATATATTCAGAAGACATCCTCATGGAAGCAAACAGCTCTATCAACCACCAGAAACACTGACACAGCCATCCTGAGCCAACAGCACCATTATGTACACAAAACAAGATGAATGGTACAATATGTGAGGCCAAGCAAAAATACTTCCAATGCAGGATGAAAAAGTCACCTGATTTACTGCAAATGCAAAAGACAATTATCATCCTGTGATATATCATTATTTTATTCACTGCAGATTATAAGGGAATGTTTCAATCATGTTAGCTGTGGATTTTTTACTTTTACCATAATAATCATTATTGACAGATTCATTTGGGATAAGAAATGGTCTTTCAGAAAAACACTGGGGAATTGCAGCATAGCCCAGGGTATGGGAGCAGATGTGCATTATAAACCAATATGCGGCATAATGAGAAAAGCATTCGTCCCTATCCTATTAATTGTTGGCACCACCTAATAATCAAGAACTGCTGACCCTCCCACCCTCCAGCTAGCAGATATTTGTGTTTGGTAATGCATTGTGACCCAGACACAAGCTCAAATCTATTAATGCTGAGAGTTTGCACTTCACTAACATTCATCTGAACTCTACTTGTTCTCTCTATTGCTGAAAAACAACTTGTCAGTAACATATAAGCACCCTCCAATAGGCGCATGGCTGGGTAAACAACGCAATGAAATTCATGTACTATTGTGCAAAAATTTTAATTGGCAATTTTGAAGATAATTTTAAAGTAAATGCTTTAGATATGAGGTTAAATGATAAGATCAGAATACAACACTGTCAGAATGCTAAGGATAGAGTTATATAAAATGCAGTAGGATGTAAGGAAAAAATGAATAAGCAAGCTGTTGTATTGACAAGGAGAATGACAAGCAATTTCATTTTTCTTTTGAAAAATCCTCTAATGTTGATATTATATTCTTATAATAAATTTATTTTTTAAATCAAGCCCACTTCTCATAAAAAGTTAGACTTTAACCAGAAAATCCACAGACTAAAACTTGCATGTGATAAATGCTGAGATGCTTTTTTTTTTTTCAGGTTCAAAAATAGTGTTGGAATCTGCCAAGGAATCAGTTCACATTATTCAATGTCAGACACATTTATACTCATATGTATTAGTAATTCCTTCAGTTGATTTTCCTTGTCGTTGTCATAGCAACTATTTCCACTGCCATTAGTACCTCTAGGGCCCACGATCGTTCACATATTTTAGGCCATTTCTCCTCTAACAAAGCAATTAATACAGTGGCATATCTGTTTCAGAAGCCCTGGTGATCTGTTCTGCCTCTTCCAACCTCTGAGTGTTCAGTTTCCTTCCTGTCTGCTTTGAATCACCTCTGTTTCCCTTTTTGGTGGTTCTTTTCATTTAACATTATGAGCCTCTTTACTGTTTCTAATTATATCCTATTTGGATTGTTTCAGGGTTGTTGTTTTTTTTTCCACACATACTCTATTTCCATTTCAAATGACTCTCTCTCTCTCTCTCTATTATCAATAACATATTTTTATTAATGATCATTATGGACCACTTCTATAGAAAAGAACCAAATTATCTTAGGAAAAAAATCAGACTTCAGAGTGATTCTGGACTGGTAATAGCATGATTATGCTATTGGGACTTGCATACTTCTATTCACAAGAAATAAACAAAAGCACAAGGTATCCACCTGCATGTTCCAGCAACTGGAGTCATCTGACATAGTCCTTTCTAATTGAAGACTGAAGTTGTTGTCTACCTTTTCTCACCTACTATATTATTTAATAATAATGCCCATTATGGAGAGACTGATGTGGGATGGAATTCTTATTATACTACTGCACAAGGACTATATTTACATAAAATGTTATTAAGCAATACCCACTATCAAAAGCATTAACATTTACTCCCTCAGTTCTGCAGTTATTTTAGAAATCTTTCCTAAGCAAACAAAACTAAAATGTAGGAAAAATACATATACTATTTATTAAGTTGTTTATAATGGCAAAAACATCAAGAGCCATCTAAATGTTTAACAACAGAAAAAAACATATGGTATACTCACAAGGTAAAGCATTGTGCAAGTAGTACATCTATAACGTCACAACAAGTACATGTGCTAATTTTTAATGTCAAATTAAAAAGATATGAATATTATGTGATTATAACTTTGTAAAGAAGAATAAACCATAAAAACAGTAACTGTCTTACCTACCTTGTAGGTAAAGAAGACTAAGTTTTCTCCTCTACTCTTTCTGTCCTATTAGCTGGACTGGATCCTGAAATAAAAGAAGGGTTAAGAAGATAAAAACAAGCAGATGTTTAGCAATAAGTATATCTAGTGTATACATGGGAGATACCATGTATATGAGGAATGAGTAATTCTCAAAAGAGAGGTTCTGAATTCCAGCTTATATAGCATCTTCACCAAAATAATCGATTTTTTTAGAGAAGTCACAAGACAAAGGAAAAGGACTTTGAGTCTCAGGGATAGAAAATTGTGGGAAGCCACCTAAATGGCAGACACTTAGTAAAGCTTGTTCAGATGATTCCTCTGGTGCCATATCCAGGCTGTTAAAATACAAAGTACCTAGTCTTCAGTAATTAACCTTTGTCCTTCCTTGGAGGAAGGCACTTTTGTCTTTGTAAATCTGTGTCCTGCTTCTAGGAAAATAGGAGGACAGAGAACTTTTCTTCTATCTGCTCTTTTTAATTGCCTTCAACTTAAAAAAATCCTTATACCAACGTGGCAAATTCTGTGGTGGCTTATCCTTATCGTCTTCAACCTCATCTCTGCATAATCTACCATTATATCTGTCCACTTTATATAGATGAATGAATGGATGGAAAAATGAACATGTGTGATAAAAACAATGGAAAGTCTGAGTCTTCAATAATAGTTATCTTTGGGGGATGATACTTTGGTGATTTCTAAGTTGTTCTTTATTTGTGTTTTCCATCTTATTAACTTTTAAAAAACTTATGATGTAATTGAAATGATTTTCTTACATTTATGCTTCTCCTATGGAGACAATATAAATGTATGCCCTTTTTATATGGACCCCTTCAAATAATGAGGGTCTGCCCCCGTGGGCATGGATAATCAACCCTACACAGGGCTTTATCTACATCATTCTGCAGAACCAAATATTTTCGAAGTGGGTGGAAATGCTCAGTAAACTCTACAACTCTGTATGTGTACAAGAGTTCTACATACCGTAATTACATTTATTAGTTATTTTATAAATTATCTTCCCAAAAATCTGAGTCAGATCACTTCCATCTTCAAAAATCTTCCTGCCTAATGAGTAAAATTCACCTCCTTAGTCTCATTCAAGGCCTTCCAAAATGAAAATATATCCCCAATTACGTGTCCCATCACAATATTGCCCAATTCCTACGCACTGATTTCATTACTTTGCATTTTCTCTGTGTACAGTGCAATGCCGTGTCTTCCCACACATGGTTGCACTGTGCTGCTAGCTTGAAAGGCTCTTTAATGTCAGACACATTTATACTCATATGTATTAGTAATTCCTTCAGTTGATTTTCCTTGTCGTTGTCATAGCAACTATTTCCACTGCCATTAGTACCTCTAGGGCCCACGATCGTTCACATATTTTAGGCCATTTCTCCTCTAACAAAGCAATTAATACAGTGGCATATCTGTTTCAGAAGCCCTGGTGATCTGTTCTGCCTCTTCCAACCTCTGAGTGTTCAGTTTCCTTCCTGTCTGCTTTGAATCACCTCTGTTTCCCTTTTTGGTGGTTCTTTTCATTTAACATTATGAGCCTCTTTACTGTTTCTAATTATATCCTATTTGGATTGTTTCAGGGTTGTTGTTTTTTTTTCCACACATACTCTATTTCCATTTCAAATGACTCTCTCTCTCTCTCTCTATTATCAATAACATATTTTTATTAATGATCATTATGGACCACTTCTATAGAAAAGAACCAAATTATCTTAGGAAAAAAATCAGACTTCAGAGTGATTCTGGACTGGTAATAGCATGATTATGCTATTGGGACTTGCATACTTCTATTCACAAGAAATAAACAAAAGCACAAGGTATCCACCTGCATGTTCCAGCAACTGGAGTCATCTGACATAGTCCTTTCTAATTGAAGACTGAAGTTGTTGTCTACCTTTTCTCACCTACTATATTATTTAATAATAATGCCCATTATGGAGAGACTGATGTGGGATGGAATTCTTATTATACTACTGCACAAGGACTATATTTACATAAAATGTTATTAAGCAATACCCACTATCAAAAGCATTAACATTTACTCCCTCAGTTCTGCAGTTATTTTAGAAATCTTTCCTAAGCAAACAAAACTAAAATGTAGGAAAAATACATATACTATTTATTAAGTTGTTTATAATGGCAAAAACATCAAGAGCCATCTAAATGTTTAACAACAGAAAAAAACATATGGTATACTCACAAGGTAAAGCATTGTGCAAGTAGTACATCTATAACGTCACAACAAGTACATGTGCTAATTTTTAATGTCAAATTAAAAAGATATGAATATTATGTGATTATAACTTTGTAAAGAAGAATAAACCATAAAAACAGTAACTGTCTTACCTACCTTGTAGGTAAAGAAGACTAAGTTTTCTCCTCTACTCTTTCTGTCCTATTAGCTGGACTGGATCCTGAAATAAAAGAAGGGTTAAGAAGATAAAAACAAGCAGATGTTTAGCAATAAGTATATCTAGTGTATACATGGGAGATACCATGTATATGAGGAATGAGTAATTCTCAAAAGAGAGGTTCTGAATTCCAGCTTATATAGCATCTTCACCAAAATAATCGATTTTTTTAGAGAAGTCACAAGACAAAGGAAAAGGACTTTGAGTCTCAGGGATAGAAAATTGTGGGAAGCCACCTAAATGGCAGACACTTAGTAAAGCTTGTTCAGATGATTCCTCTGGTGCCATATCCAGGCTGTTAAAATACAAAGTACCTAGTCTTCAGTAATTAACCTTTGTCCTTCCTTGGAGGAAGGCACTTTTGTCTTTGTAAATCTGTGTCCTGCTTCTAGGAAAATAGGAGGACAGAGAACTTTTCTTCTATCTGCTCTTTTTAATTGCCTTCAACTTAAAAAAATCCTTATACCAACGTGGCAAATTCTGTGGTGGCTTATCCTTATCGTCTTCAACCTCATCTCTGCATAATCTACCATTATATCTGTCCACTTTATATAGATGAATGAATGGATGGAAAAATGAACATGTGTGATAAAAACAATGGAAAGTCTGAGTCTTCAATAATAGTTATCTTTGGGGGATGATACTTTGGTGATTTCTAAGTTGTTCTTTATTTGTGTTTTCCATCTTATTAACTTTTAAAAAACTTATGATGTAATTGAAATGATTTTCTTACATTTATGCTTCTCCTATGGAGACAATATAAATGTATGCCCTTTTTATATGGACCCCTTCAAATAATGAGGGTCTGCCCCCGTGGGCATGGATAATCAACCCTACACAGGGCTTTATCTACATCATTCTGCAGAACCAAATATTTTCGAAGTGGGTGGAAATGCTCAGTAAACTCTACAACTCTGTATGTGTACAAGAGTTCTACATACCGTAATTACATTTATTAGTTATTTTATAAATTATCTTCCCAAAAATCTGAGTCAGATCACTTCCATCTTCAAAAATCTTCCTGCCTAATGAGTAAAATTCACCTCCTTAGTCTCATTCAAGGCCTTCCAAAATGAAAATATATCCCCAATTACGTGTCCCATCACAATATTGCCCAATTCCTACGCACTGATTTCATTACTTTGCATTTTCTCTGTGTACAGTGCAATGCCGTGTCTTCCCACACATGGTTGCACTGTGCTGCTAGCTTGAAAGGCTCTTTTTGCTTCCCTTCTTGTTAAAATCCTTCAACACTCAAGTGCACCTTCTCTGGACTGTGAAGATAAGACAATGTTGAAAATAAATCTGTAGAATGCGTATAATTAGAGTCTGTATTGGTTCACCTTATCCTGCTATAATAGACTAGTGGGTAATTTATAATGAGTGGAGAGTTCTTTCTTAAAATTCTGGAAGCTAGAAAAGTCCAAAATCAAGGAACTGCATGCAGTGAACACACTCTTGCTATATATAAGAAAAGTATCACAGGAAGAGAAAGAGAAATCAAAAAAGTGCAAGAAGGAGTCAAACTGGCTATTTTTTGTCAATATTCACCCCAAGATAATGGCATTAATCCATTCACAAGCGCTAATTAACTCTTAAAGATCCCATCTCTCAATAATGTTCCACTGGGGATCAAGTTTTCAACATGTGAACTTTGGGGGTCACATTCAAACCACAGTAAAACCCTCTGATATTTCCAAATACTCAGGCATTTAGTTTCTGCCTATCAAATCAGTCAAAAGCAAAGCATGTAATATTCATTGACCTTCTAAGTAGAATATACTGTGAGCAACTCTCATTAATGATAGGCAGCCTTTTTACCTGGCAGAGGTTCACTCATGTGTGTGAGCATATGTTTGCATGTGAGTGTGTGTGTGTGTGTGTGTGTGTGTGTGTGTGTGTTCAAGTCTGATGTTACCAGCACAGCCTGTTGGATGATGAAGTGTAGCAAATACTAACAAAAAGATTTTCTGGGAACTATTTTATAACATTTTTAAGTGTTCCAAAACTGAAACTTGCACTGAGAGAAGAGAGTAGCAATTTTCTAGTCTGGTAGATGGGCCAGGAACAGCATGTGAGGAAAAAGAAAAAAAAAAAAAAAGAATTTCAAAGGGCATTTGTTCCACCTTTTCATGCATACTTGGAAAATTCACCAAAAGATGACATTTTTAAATGTTTCTCTTTTATAATGGCTGTCCAATATTAGCCTTCACTCTGCCAGTGAGCACACACAGGAGCTAAAACCAGCAGCCCAGAAAAACACCAACTGTCAGAAGAGACTGACACATGGCACCCTCGGTTAATTCGGGCACGAAAATGCCTTCACTGAAGCGCCAGCCACTCATCTTCTTCCCCTGTGTGTGACACTTCAACACAGGCAAATGATTTTTTTCTATCTTCACAATCATCTCTCTGCAATCCTTTAGAGCATTTAGAATATTTCCATGTTTATAAGTGTTCACATTTCCATCCTCATCAGTACAGGCCATCTACCTGAACACCCACTCCAGTTGTATGAAAATTCATTCAACTGGTTCTTTCCCAGTAAAAGCAGTGTGCACTTGTTCTTGCTTTGCATGTCCCTAACTCTTCAATGAGCTCTTAAAGTAATTACACCTAATGCCTTTTTCTTCTAATTCACTGGAGGATTGCTAGCTCATACTATTTCAAGGGTCCAGATAATTGATGCTGACTAGTTTTACTCCATCTCTCCAGAAGACTGAACAAAAAAAATGGGATTAAATCACATCTGAGAGGAAATTCTGAGACAGAAGAGGAAATTTTGAGTATATAAATCAAATGTTACAATGGTTTCTATGAAAGTTGCAGAATACCAATCATCAAAGTTATTTGGAGGAGTTAAACCTGACTTTAAAGCCAGCTATCCTTGGAAGAACTAATCTGGAATGAAAGACCTTTCGACTTTTCCTTCATAAAAGTGCTATGACTAACAAGTATGACAGCAGTGTGACTAACTGCCTCTCTATTCTTTCTTGTTCCTGGCTTACAGGCTCCTCAATGCGGCTAGAGGGTCATGCAATCTGGCCAATCAGATGTAAGCAGAAGCAACTGGGCGGAGCTTCTGAAAACCACTTTTTGAAAAAGAACCAGACCCAGCCTACTTGTACTCTTAGCTCTTTACCCTTTCTCATTCTTCTGGCTGAAAGGCAAACTCAAAGACCAAGGATGCATCCATCATCTTGCAATGGGCAGGAAGGGAGCCACACACTAAACACAGCACAGCAAGAAGACAGAAGGCACCTTGAACTGTTACTCCAGGCATGGATTGCCCCTTCTAGCCTTGTTGGTACAGGAAAGGAAAAACTCTTCCTTGTTGAAACCACAGTAATAAGGGTTTGCATTATTTATGGCCAAGACCAAAGCTAACCTGCTCATGCCAGATTTCAGAGGCTCTCTTTCCTTTTCCTTTCTTTTTTTTTTTCTTTTATTGAGTTTATTGGTACATTTTAGATATACAGTACAGTTGCATTCATTATTGGGATATTGTACCTTTACATGACAGGTGGTCTTGGTTCTCATTTTTTCCCCTTGTCCCGGCCCTCCCTTCACCCCTCCTCCCCTCCCCATTTACAAACAATTTATTTCCATTTCTTCATTTTCTCATATTTTTTCCCTTATTACCTTTTGCCTACCCTTCCCACTTTCCCTACACCTTTAGCCCTTTTCTTCCTGTTTCACAATGTCAGTTATCTCATTAGGATTTTATGTACTATTACAGTTTATTCACACCAGAGAAACTATTCGGTATTTACACATGTGTGACTTATTTATTTCACTTAGGAGTATATCTTCAATATGTATCCATTTTCCTATGAATGACTCTAATTTCTCATTCTTTATGGCTGAGTAGTATTCCATTTTATAGAAAAAACATATCTTCTTTATCCAATCTCCAACTGATGGGCAAATGGGCTGTTTCCAAGTTTTAGCTATTACAAACTGTGCTGCTATAAACATGGGTGTGCATATATCACTGTGGCATGATTCTTTTAATTCTTTTGGAAAGATACCCAGCAGAGGGATGGCTAGGTCAAATGGAACCTCTAGTCCCACCCCTTTGAGGTATCTCCATATTGATTTCCATAGTGGTTGCACCAGTCTGCACTCCCACCAACAGTGGAGAAGGGTTCCTTTCTCCCCACAACCCCGCCAACATTTGTTATTGTGTGATTTCTTGATAGCAGCCATTCTTTGTGGGGTGAGGTGGAATCTCAGTGCTGTTTTCATCTGCATTTCTCAGATGACCAGTGATGTGGAACATCCTCAGTGATGTGGAACATCCTCAGTAGCACGGGAACTAGCATAAAGAATAAACTACTGGAATCTCATCTTATTAAAAAGCTTCTGCACTGCAAAAGAAATCATCAACAGAACTAAGAGACAACCTACAATGTGGGAAAAAATTTTTACCAGCTGCTCCTCAAACAAAGGACTATTATCTAGAATATATAAAGAACTCAAAACAATCAGCCCCCCCAAATATAAACACTCAATTCAAAAGTGGGCATCTGAAATGAACAGACATTTCTCAGACAAACAAGTAAAAGCAGCAAGTAAATATTTCCTTTTCCTTTCTATCCTTGTCCCATACCTGACTTGCCTGTGCAGGCCACACTGGCTTTCTGAAATATCCATTCACCTTAGTGACATGTCCACTAGCTTTTTTCTCTGCCTAAAATGCTCTTTCCCTGATTTTCACTCTCAATTTTTAGGCTTCATCTCAAACATCACCTTCTCGTAGTATCTGCCTTGACCACCTACATAAGACATTCTCTATTCTACATTCTCTATATTTTCTAAATTATTTGCAAAGTATACAACTTTATTTGATTTTTCCTATAAGGTTATTCTGTTTTCCCCTGGGGGAATATAAAAGTTATGACACCAGAGATTTCGATGTCTTCTTTTCTGCTGTAGGCCCACATATTTGAAAATTGCCTGGCACATACTACGTGCTCAATAAATATTTGTTGTAGGAATAA